GTATATATGGACCACATCTTCTTTATCCATTCATCTGTTGAAGGGCATCTCGGCTCTTTCCAGTTTGGCTATTGCGGGGCTGCTCTGGAAAAGCTTCTGAGCCCTTTCGCGGGCTGCCCCGAGATGGCAGGACACGGGAGGTGGGGCTGGTCGGGGCGGCGGCCATGCCCTCCGTGGACAGAGGCTAAACCCCAGGACTCTGGGGCCCTTCACCTATTGTGCACTAAGCCTTGCGTTCAGACCAGGGGTGCATTCGGGGGACAGGAGTGCTGGGTGTTGGGCGAGACTCAGCCATCTGGTGAGCAGCCGAGTAGCAAGCCTGCATTGCCTTGAGTGGGGGTCTCCGCCAGGGGGGCTGACGGCCTGGAGGAAGCACCTGCAAGGCAGGGAGGCTGTTTTCAGGGAGAATGGCGCAGGCATGGGGCCTCCTCCACCCGAGGGACCAGGCCAGTGAGCCCAGGGGAGGAACATCTGCGCCTTCAGGCAGCCCCCACACCCAGGCCCAAGGGTTTGCAGCCTGCCCCACTCGCAGGCCTGGACTTGGCAGTGAGCGTCTCCACAGCTGGTGGCAGCAGGGTCCCCAGGACAGGCCCATGAGCCCCGGTGTCCACCCTGTGGCCCTCTGACCCCCGCCCTTGTCCTCCCCCCGTGATCCTCTTCCTCTGCGGCCAGCTGTCCTTGCCTTGTCCCACGTACAGTGTTGTCCCTTGCGTCACGTGTGCTCAGTTCATTTCTCGGCATGATTTCGGGGCCCTCCACTGCCTCTCTGTCACCACGGAGCCGGGGTATGGGACATACCTGATGTCAACCAGTTCAGTGTGACTTGTATTACGTGATCCTATAATTATATTGGCCATTACTTTAAAAACAAGTCTGGAGGGAAATGGTTGACAATGCATATAGATGATGTAAAGACGATCCCTTGACCTAAGAGCTGGGGTCTCTGGTCCCCAGCACCCTGACTTGGTACACTTGGGGAGTGTGAAAGCGGACTAGAACTGTTCCTTCTGGAGTAGATAGCAGATCCCACAAAACTCATCCGAAGTTAAGACTCTCCTTAGCCAAGACACTGCGATAACACAAAATAGTGGGGGGAACCTGTGAGAATAGTCATTTGCACTTCAGCCCCGTTGAAGATGGGGCCACTTTGCTTTTCTGCCACAGCCGGGGAAATTCATCATTCCTTTAAGGCTGAGGAGTGTGCTGACTGTTGGACACGTTCCCCTCCCGCACAGCTGTTCCTGAGGGAGCGTGTGTGCGTGTGTAGGCGTGAGTCCCCAGGCGTCTCCTGCAAGCCGACCTGGGATTTTCTGGAGACAGCTTCCGATACAGTGTCCTTTCTCACTTGGAGCTACCTGGATGTGCCCTGCTACTGTGGGGATTGACTTCCTGTTGTTCTGCTTTTTTAAAGCATCTTAAAATAATAACCTGCAGTGGTGCAATAATAATTCGATTCAAAAAGCATGTGTTGGGCTCAGAGTGTTCAGATGTGTGCAAAATAAAAAGAAAGTTTTCCAGACCATGAGCTTCTGTTCAGGTGGACCTTGAATTATTGGGTTTCACTGGGGCTCGGTGGTCAGCACCGGGCATCTCTTGAGCCCCCAGGGAATGAAGGCATATCCAGGCACAGTGAAGACCACTCAAAAGTGGCAGAAGATCCGTGTCCCCGAGGGGATGCCCGATGTGCTGGCCGCTCCCAGACGTGCCCACACAGCCCTGGTTCACACCCCTATGTGTCGTCTGTCTACATTTCTCCACTCTGTTTTCCCGTAGAGGAGATTTTGAAGACTCACATCGCCCACTGGTGGTCTCCGGATGGCACGAGGCTCGCCTACGCCACCATCAACGACTCCCGTGTGCCCATCATGGAGCTCCCAACCTACACTGGCTCCATCTACCCCACGGTGAAGCCCTACCACTACCCCAAGGTAGGGGGGAGGAAACGGTAGAGCGAATGCTTTGCCTTGTCCATCCGCAGCCCCGCCCCGGGCGGCTCCAGACATGGGGCTGTCCAGTCAGACATGTTCTGAGCAATGCAGTCAACAGCAGCAAGAGTCAGTATTTCCCATTACGTTGCATTAAATGCCCATCTTTGTGGAACTGAATTTGTTGGCAGGTTTATTCTGTTTTAAATAACTGAACGACCGTGAATCATTTGAGCTTCATTGGAGCCAAAATAAATACATTACCTCCACTTATGATTCCATGGAAACAACAATCCACCCTGCCTGCTCCTGGGGCACCCTGTCCTCAGATCCGTAGTTTAGAATTTGGCTCTGAGATGTCAGAGGGATCTCTGTCTGCCCCTGGTCCCCTGGGTCCGGGCTGGGCTGTTTTGTGCTTGGTCCTATTCTGACCCGGAGTCTCTGACTGCTTCCCAGGCCAAGTTGTTGGCCCAGAGAGCCCACAGAACAGCAAGGGTGCAGTGGAGTGTGGAGGGGGTACAAACATCTAAACCTTGCTTTGTTAGCGAATCGCAGCATCCTGGCACGAAGGGAGGACCTGATGCCAAATTCTCTGCAGCCCACTCAACTGGAGAGACGCTGATGTCTGACAGAGTGGATGCAGCTGCCCCGCTGCCCCTTGGCTTCACTAGACCACGCCAGGGCCTGGGGGCTGGATGGAGGCGAGCCATTCTCTGCCTGCACCAGCCTGGTGCCAGGCGCTCGCTTCCCGCCTTGGGCCGCCTGGGAAGGATCCCTCAAGCCTCTGCCAGCGAGCACTGAGCCCTGGCTCCCGAGCCATCAGAGGGCTCTGAGAGCTGATGCCAGGTGCCTTGTGCACCAGGGCAGACAAGACACACCAGCCTGCAGTCTGCATCAGGAGGGGTGGTGGGGGACCAGGGAGGCCAGTGAGTGCATGAGCCCCGGGCCAGAGAAGGAAACACCGGATGTATGGTCGCCTCGGGCTCCGTAACAGCAGACATTTACTTCTCATGGTCCTGGAGGCTCAGAGTCTGAGATCAGGGTGCCAGGAAGGTGGGGTTCTGGGGAGGACCGTGTTTCTGGCTTGCAGACCCTGCCTTCCCTCTGTATCCTCACACAGCTGAGAGTGAGTGAGCTCTGGTGTTTCTGTCTCTCCATATGAGGGCACGAATCCATCATGGGGCCCCAGCCTCATGAGCTCACCAACCCCGATCACCTCCCCAAGGCCTCACCTCCAGATACCCTCACACTGGGGCTTAGGGCTTCGACACAGGAATTTTGGATTTGGGAGGTGGGGGACGCAGGCATTCAGTCCACAGCTCTTTGATTGATGTGGCCAGTATCCAGGGAGGTCCCATGTGGAGGAACAGGCCTCCTCTGGGGACATGGCCATTGTCGGCCATTCTCCCGTTCTGGGAGCATCTAAGATGTCAACACACCACACAGGTTTGCCTGTGGACAGAATTCTCTCACTCCTTTTTCAGCTGGTCTTGACTGGACTTAACTCTACATCATGTGGAAGATCCAGAATTTTAGTTGGAAACCATTAAATAATGCCGAATCTTTGGACCCCTCTACTCCCCACCCCACACACAGTGTGGCAATGGCCGCCCAGCCCCTCTAACCACCCGGGGATGTAGTGGTTTCCCTGGTGAACCCTCTTACGGGAGGTTCCCCAATTTAGGAGTGATGGCCCAAAAGCCATCTTGATTTTCCAGTGGTTTTCCAGTGAAGTCTGGGATGGGTGAATTGGAATTATGAGACCCCAGGTCGTTCATATTTTAATGGAAAAGCATCCTATGCTAGCCAAGAGAATGCCCAGAATTGAGGTGCCCCTTGCCCCATGGTACCCTCTCCCAAATCAGAGGCATGAGTTGGTGACCCCGCCGGACCCCTGTCCTGTCATGGCGAACCTGCCATGTCTGCGTGCAGGGTGCAGAGGAAGCGAGGGTGTCCGGGAGACCCAGCAGTCCCGCTAACGAAGAATGCCCCCCGCTTCTCCTTCCCCTTCCTGGCGGTGCTCTTCCCCTAGAAGAGGGAGCACAGTGGGGGGAGCAGTGACGCAGAGCAGAACCCACCCAGCTCCTTTTCCAGGGACTTCCCTGCCCACCAAGCCCTGCTGGGCCACAGCCAGCATTCATCAGCCTTCTCCACCGTGTGCCTCACTGTCAGCGCACCACCTCTTGGTATTGCCTCCAGGAATTCCTCTCCTGCTCCTCGTCCAGCTCCTTTTCCCCCTCCCATGTTGATAGTCAGGAGGCACTAGGAGGAATGAGGAGGGGGTAGGCTTCCTGGGGAAGGAAGGGCACTGGTCCAGTTATCTCTTGCCCTTTGTAAGGTTCTGTGCATGAGTGACCTGCTCTCAGCCCCAGGGTTGCTCAGGAGTCCTGAGCCCCAGAGTCCTGCCTGTGCATCTCCTGGGGAGGAATTCGCAGCAAGAAGACACTGCCCCACAGGAGAGCTTACTCACGTCTCCTCCCCTTTACTTCCCAGGCTGGATGTGAAAACCCCAGCATTTCCCTGCACGTCATTGGCTTAAATGGACCCACCCACGATCTAGAGATGATGCCACCCGATGATCCACGGATGAGGTCTGCTTCCTTTTCTCTGTTATGTTAAAAAAAAAAATGAGATGAATGTTCATTTACATGGTCTTTCCAGATTTATTTTACTGCTAATTTAAACATCCAAGAAAAAGGTAACACTTTCTAAAGCTTTCGTGACTGCTTCATGGTTCAGTTTTCTGCGAAGGAACATCATTCAAACCAGCCCTGCTATTGCTCGCCTTAATCGGGAGCAGGCTGCGCTCCCCGGGAGGCCGGGCTCCTTGGGAAGGGGCGTGTCTGGCCAGCCGCAGGGCTCCAGCCGGGCACACTGTCTCACGCAGGCCAGTCCGCGGAACGTCCGCTGCATGAACACATGCAGTCTTCACCCAGAAAGTCCACGTCATCAGATGCTCCGCAAATGGCGCCCCATTTAAGAGCATTACTTTAGAACATTTCTACACTTTGCCGGCTCCAGGAACCGGTGGTGAATGCTCTTCCCAATAAGCCACATCTCCTGGTTGGTAAGCTAACCCGTGGAGGTGGTGGAACAGTTTGACAAAGATAACTGTCCTGTCATCATTAACGTCTGGTTTGGGTAGTTTGTTTGTTTGTTTGTTTGTTTAATCAAAACAATGGAGTAGGATCTATCTAAGTAAAGTGGTCTCTGATACCCGTTTCATCCTGTCCCAAAGTTCGAACAGCCTGGGGACCGAGGATACTTCCAGAGCCCACTTACGTCATCACTCAAGCTCTCTGTGGGGTGGGTATTGATGGGAGACTGAAAAAAGAGGAACCCAGTGTGTGGGCACCAGGACCCTCTCATTGACAGATCGTAAGTCTAGAAAAGGGCCCAGTGAAGCCGACAACGATGCATTCCGAGACTCTGCAGACACCCACCCAAGATTTTGCCATAATTCTAGCCCAGGCCTTTACTGTGAGTTTCAGAACTCCATCTTATTAGTGGCTTCCGGCAGCTTCTGGAAGGGCAGGAGCCGTGGCCCCATCCACTCCAGCGTCTCCACAGGCCCCCCTGCCGGGGCCAGGTGCTCTGGCACTTGGCACTTCTGGTCTTCTGTGAATGATGTGGTCTTCTTCCGCGGTGACTTCCTTAGTAAGACCCGTCTGCCCACACCTCACAAGCCTGAGCCTATGCAGACTCCCACGGAGGTTCTTCCAACTTCCCGCTCGGGGGAAAGTAAAATGCGGAGGTCCTCGGGCAGACAGACCAAGCAGAGAATTCTGTGCTCTATAAATATAAATAGCTCCTCACTGCCTGTCTCCTGCCCGGGATGGGTCTCCTCTGTGTCAGAGGGTCTCAGTGTCCCCAGAGGGTAGTGAATCTGGCCCCCGAGAGCCAGTCCCGGGGTTCCCAGGGCCCTCCATGTGTGCTGGCCGGCGGGGAAGGGGGAGGCGTTGAATCGATTTGGCTGATAATGCTTTTGCGGGGGTAGAAGAAAAGTTCAGGTTATTGCTTTGTCTTCTCTCCTAAAGATCCAGTATTTCATTGTTTTCCTCTCAGCCCCCATCCCTACCAGGCCTCCCGGGGCCTGGTCCAGCAAACTCACTGAATTAATATGGAAAGTCACCTGGAAAATTTAAGCCATCTGTTTGAGTTAATTGAAAATCTCATTTAGTCAATTTGGGATGCTGTTTCCGTAGGCTTGATTAGCTTCAAGGACAATGAAAAATTAGCCTCAGTCAGGGCTGGAAGTTCAGATGCTGGTTTCGGGTTTTCTGCTCTGATTTCGTAGGCGAAATGCAATAATGCTCCTCGTGTGCAATGTAAATCTGTCATGCGAGGAAGTCACGCTTTCTCGTACTTTCTCCGTCACACGGCCTTGAGGTTGTTTCCGACGTGAGCCCAGGTAGATCAGACACCAGAGAATAAATGGGAGTGGACATTTATTAAGCAGTGACGTTACCAGCTGTGCATAGTGGGGAACAAAGCACGGAGCATCCGATGTGGGGACGGGGTCAGACCAAACACATCGTTATGGGCAGCTGAATAACCGCAGGCCTGAGTAGGGCCACCAAGAAGCGCACGGTGTGGGGGGACGCCGAGCTCGTAGGTGGGTGACAGCCCTCTCTTGAGCTGGGCACTATGACGTTTGGGGCCTGGTGACTCTTTGCTGCGGGGCGGGGGGCACTGCAGGGTGCTCACAGCAGCCCTGGCCCCACCCATCGGATGCCAGGAGCACCCCCCCACCGAGTTGTGACTGTCCCCGTCTTGGCCACATGTCCCCACCTGCAGAACCACTGGTTCAGAGTGAAGGTTCTGCATTCAGATCCCAGTCCTGGGGCCTTGGGGGAGTGATTGCACCAGCCCTGCTTCGGGTCCCTCATCTGTAGGATGGAGCTGAACATTACTAAGAGGACCGGTTGTAAAGATCAGATGACATGGCGCAGTCACCCCGTCTCGTGGCTGTCGGTACTCCCTATAGGCTGGCTGGCGGCCCTTGGCTTCAGAACTGAGCCTCACCTGTCCTCGCAGTGGCTCACGTGTCCAGCCACACCCTCAGCATCTCCAGGTTGCGATGCTCTAGGTGAAGTAAATGAACATGTGTCGAGGATTTGATGGAACTCATTAGCTCCTTAGGAGAGCGGGGAGGTGTTGGAACCAGAGCAGAAGCATTTGCAAAGCTGGGTGTGTGTGAGCAGCTTAGCAGAGAAGAGTCAGGGTCGGTCTGCTGGGTGATAGATCCAGCAGGGCCCTCGACTGTGACCTCTGGGGTAGCTGATCCACCTGCATACACCCGCGGGACAGGTCCCCAGTGAATCAAACGCAGAGCCCAGGGTTGCGCTGGAGGAAGAATGCCCAGTGAGCTGGTTGCCTCTTCACAGGTCTCAGACAAATCTGATAATCTCTAAATGGCCTCGCAAATTGGACATGGTCAAAACAGACTTCCCGATCTCCTTCCATAATCCTGCTGCCTCGGGTCAGAGCACCTCCATCCTCTGGTGCTCGGGCCTCTGACTTTCCTGTCTGCCCCGTGCAGGATCTTCCCCGACAGTGCCCCCTTCCTCCCATCTCCTAGTGACCCCTGCTCGGGCCCTCCTAGACCACTGGCTTAGGACTCTCCCCGTCCCCTCCTGCCACCCCCAGAAAGCTGTTCCCTCTCCTGACCTGCTAGTGGCTGTCTGTCCCTACATTCTTTCGTTCCCTTAAAATCATGAGCTGCTGAGATCTGTTTTTCCGGGATTTAACATATCCCGGGCAGTTCCGCTAGAAATGTGCTCTGGCAAGTAGCGCCGGGCAGGCTGGCGGCCAAAAATGACCCCTCTCATGTTGAGAAAGCCATGTCTCATCTTTCTTTCCTTTTCCGGGGACCCCACCCTATCTGCCCACACCAGCGCCACCCCACACCCTTATCCCACCTCTCCGTAGCCCTCCTCAGGGATGCTGGACTCGCTCTTAGGGGGCTTGCACCTGCGCTCCATCTGCATGGAAACCCCTCCCCTGTGGCTGAAGGGCAGCGCCCATGCCCTGTGGGTCCTGATCAAACATGCTGCTTCCTGAGCACGCCCCGATGACCTTGCTCAAGTCACAGCCCACTCCCTCCTTTCCCAGCCTCAGTTTCCTTCCGAGCACTCATCCCAGCAGGATATTCTGTCTACTTTGCTCACCACGTCCTTTCCCTGCCTGCCAGCTAGAAGGAAAGTCCGGGAGCAGGGACTTGGGTCTGGAGCTGGGCCAGGAATGCCAGACAAGCTCAAGAAACCTTTGTCTATGGGCCAATGAACTGAACACGTAGCCAATAAAATCTCACTCCGGTAGGATTCTCGAAGATTGAGATTTCTTTGGTTGTTTGGTACCTTTCTAAGAACCAAGCGTTTAGCAATGTTTAGCTGTTGACGGCTCCTGCCATCTTGAACATAGGATGCTGTAGGGGAGGCAGAACTTTATCTCTGCCCATCTTGGGTTTTCAGTTGGGACTCTTTTTTTTTTTTTTAAAGATTCTATCCATTTATTTGAGAGAGAGAGAATGAGAGACGGAGAGCACGAGAGGGAGGAAGGCCAGAGGGAGAAGCAGACTCCCCGCCGAGCGGGGAGCCCGATGCGGGACTCGATCCCGGGACTCCAGGATCATGACCCGAGCCGAAGGCAGTCGCCTAACCAACTGAGCCACCCAGGCGCCCTCAGTTGGGACTCTTTAACAAAAGGATAGATTAGCAAAAGAAAATCAAATAGTTAAGTAATGCATATGGAGAACATCCCATGGTGAAAATCTGAAAAGTAACTCAAAGAAGCAGTTCAGAACTTCCACTATATAGCATCTTCCAGCAGGAACAATGAATTTGCAGAGAATTAAGCTGACAAAGGAGAGCAGTTTTAGGTTCCCAAGGACAGCAGACCTGGGAGGGAACTCACAGAGGAAGGCTTGTTTGCAGATTCCCCTGGTGCGTCTCTGGGCTAAGAGTCTGTCTCCAGTAAACGGAGAATTTATTTCCTGCCTTTAGACAGAAATGGGGGTAGCTTTTTTCTGGGTTTGCTCCTGCTTAATTGCCTTCAGCTCAAAATAATTTTTATGTCAAAAAGGCCTATCTTGGGGCAACATATTCTGGTTTCTTTCAACTAATCCAGGAAAAGTAAAGCTAAGACACCGTGTAGAGGGTTATAGAGAGGAAGATCTGCATCATGCCCCCAACGATCTAGGCAGAGAGAGACAACAAAGAAATATATATTTAAAAAATTAAGTACCACAAAGTAGGGATCTGTTCTTTGAAGAGTTTTGCCCCCTGCCTGGAGCAGTCCCTTCCAGGGAGGAGGGTCGGCAGGGGTGGGGTTTGGAGACACAGTCCAGATTTGGGATATTCTAGGATCCAGTCTTAAAGAGGAGTGGGGGAGCACAGGGGTGGGGTCCCCGCACAGGGCGCAGGTTGATTTGTAAAACTGTGGCCCCAGGGCCATTTCCGTTCTTCCCTCCTTCCAAACTGGGCTTCTAGATCCGCTGGCAGGTTTTCACTCTTGGTGTCCCTCTGCTTGTCTTCCCGGACACAAGGACAAGGGCTTACAGGCTTGCGGGACGGTAGCCGTGTGGGGTGGC